AGCGTGCTTCTGTCTCCGCGCTGTTGTCGCCCTGTTGATGATGTCTGCGACGCGGTTTAGTCGAGCGCGGTTTTGTGGTGGAACCGTAATGTCCTACCTGTCAATGACTACTTCAGCTTCAACCGCAACAATACATGAGCTCACAATAGATACAAACTTAAGGTAAACTGCTCCAAACTCATTGCAGAAAATACGACTTCAGCAACAGAGTGGTCAATGCCTAGAATGCTCTACCCGACATTAAGGCTGCATTGTTATTAGTCTTCTCATCGTTCCTATCCCCCATCTCATCCCACTTATGACTGCAGGACTGTAACCTTGTTGCTTGTATCCTTATGCTTTATATAGATATTTGTTTCCCGATTGCTTATTTGTACCTTATGACTATCATTAAGTGTTGTACCTTATGATTCTTGACGAATGTATATTGTCTTTTTATGTCCAGAGAGCATCTGCACCAAAGACAAATTCCTTGTGTGTCCAATCACACTTGGCAAATAAAGAATTCTCTTCTATTTGCAGCCGAGGGGATTACAATCAGCTGCTTATGCCTTAGCCCAGGAATTCTTGGGAGCCACACACATGCGCCCCATATCTTTGCCAAACCTACTTTGCCTTCAAAGCAAAAGCACCACCTGGCAAAATAACCCATTTTCTATTTTATCCTATCCCGTTTCTATTCTAATTTTATTTTGACGGCAGTGGTTGTGAGAACGAGCCGCACGCCGGCCGCCTTAACAGTTAGCAATAACAGAGTTGGAAGGGACATTGGAGGTCGTGTAGTCCAACACCTGCTCACGCAGGAGAGCTGTACTAGGGATTCGAACCGCCGACCTTTCTAATCGACAAGCTCAGCCACTAAGCCACCCCTTCCAAGCCCTGGCGATGTTGCCTCCTGGCTTGGGCCGCGAGAAGACAGCCGAGAGCGCCCCGGGCTGAGTAATCTCTTTTCATCTTCCAGCGACACAAGGACCCCCTGCCCCCCCTTCCCAGGGGCCAGGATTTAGTAAACAAGCCCTAAGGGGGAGACGAGGGGCCGAGGAGCGGAGGCCGCGTCCTCCGGGGTCAGCCAGCGCCTCTCCAGAGGGCCTGCGGGGCCCCGCAACCCTCCCGGCCGCAGCCCCGACGGCCGGAGCCACGGGCTTCTGCCCTCTGCGCATGCGCCCTCGGCCCTCACCCGGCTCCACGCGATTACATCGTCGCTCCCGGGGTCCTCGACCAGGGACCAAAGTTTGGCCAAGAAGCCGGGTACGGAGGAGGAAGAGGAGGACGACGCGCCGGGCGAAGGCGGCCCCGAGCCCACCAGCGGCTCCGCTTTCCTCATGCCGGACTCGCGATGGCGGAAAGACGTCAGAAGGCGGCGCGACGGGGAGGGAAAAAGGACGACGATGATGACGGCAACGATGCCCGGCTCGCCCTCTTATTGGCGGTTCCCGGGATATGAGCCTCACAAGGCCGGCGCCTGATTGGCCTCCATTCCTTGGAAATGGGAGGGGTGGCTCTCCTCTCTCGCCGTAAGTCTCCGAAAAGAGGCGCGGAGAAATCAGCTGGAGCCTCTGCCCGCAGCATCCCTCCCGTGTTGCTTTTTCGGCGGGTGAGTCTGGCTGCGGGATCCGGGCGGTTGGAGCAGACTCGCCGCCGGCTGAAGAAGTCTGGAGGGAATTCGCCCTGCTGCTCTCTGGCCTTTCGGTCAGCGGCTCCTCTTAAGAAACCCACGCCGCGGATTGCTTAAAAAGCCCTTTTCCCCTCTTGAAGGTGGGCGGGGCTCTCGGTGCTTGGTAAGAGTTGGACCCCACTCGGGACACCCCGAGACAGCAAAACTCCCAGACTCTGGAAGGAGGGTAAGGAAGAGGGAAGAGCAACAAAGAGGATGGAGGGTTCTGCAGGGTAAAACGTATGAATAGAATTAGAATTAGAAAGAATAGGAATAGAATAGAAATGGAAATAGGAATAGAAATAATACTAATAGGAATAGGAAAATAGAATAGAATAAGATTTACAATTAACAAGAATAGAGATAGAAAGAATAGAAAAATAAAAATAATAGGAATAGAAATAATAGGAATAGGAGAATAGAATAAGATATAGAAATAGAAAGAATAGGAATAGAAATAGAAAGAATAGGAATACAATAGAATAGAAATAATAGTAGTAGTAATAATAGGAATAGATTAGAATAGAAAGAATAGGAATAGAACAGTAATAGAAAAAACAGAAATAATAGGAATAGGAATAGGAGAATAGAATAGAATAAGATTTAGAATTAGAAATAGAAATGATAGAAATAGAATAGTAATAGAAATAGAAAAAATAGAAATAGAATAGTAATAGAACAGAAAGAATAGAATAGAAAGAATAGAATAGAAATATTAGGAATAGAAAGAATAGAAATAGAATAGAAATAAAAGAAATACGAATAGGAGAATAGAATAAGATTTAGAATTAGAAATACAAATAATAGAAATAGAAATAATAGTAATAGTAATAGAAAGAATAGAAATAGAAAGAATAGGAATAGGAATAGGAGAATAGAATAAGATTTAGAATTAGAAATACAAATAATAGTAATAGAAATAATAGTAATAGAAATAATAGTAATAGAAATAATAGTAATAGAAATAGAAAAAATAGAAATGGAAGGAATAGTAATAAATAGAAAAAATAGAAATAATAGGAATAGAATAGAAAATAAAATAGGATAGAATAGAATTCTTTATTGGCCAAGGGGGGAATTTGCCTTTGGTGCAGATGCTCTCAGTGTACATACATTGTGCGCGGGTTACAAACCGGCAGTAACACCAGCAGCAACCTACCCCTAATGGGGGGGCTGCAAGAGGCCCCAAAATGCAATGTGAGTGTCCCCCCCCAAGCATGCTTCCCACGCATGCGTGGCAGAGTCCCAAAGACCAGCAGGGCAGCAGGAGGCGCGCATACATGTAGGCGGAGCTGATCTGCGGCGATGGCTGGTGTGGCCACAGAGAGGGCTCTGCATGCCACCTGTGGAATGTGTGCCATAGGTTTGCCATCACGGATCCAAGGCAGGGGTGGGATCCTACCAGCTTACCGGTTTGCTGAGTGCTCGCCTGTTTTTTACCCTCCCTGAGCCTCCGTGCATGCCCTGCACTTACCTGCATCCAAAACGGACCACATGGAGACTCCAAGGAGTGGAAGGGCAGGGCCAGCCAGTTGTGGGATTTGGGGGTTCTCCAAACTGCACAGAATCTTAGCTAGAGGTTCTCACGAACCCCCAGCTGTCTATGGCAGAAAGGTCAAGGCAAGGATTTTCTCTGGGTTAATTAGTGGGTGAGTAATATTTGTTACTTGTTTGTTGCGCTCAATATCAAGTTGATTAGTAGTCTACAAATTCTAAGGCAAATATTAGACTCTGTCTATGGGAGAGCAGAAAGTATAAAGTTCAGGAAAGTTCCATTCACTTTGCCTTATTTGAGAATGCAAATACAATTAATGGAGGCTGTAAGATCCAATTCCTTTAGATCTCCTCTGAAAGCTCCCTTTGTTTGCCTTGCCATACAAGACCCTCACAGCCCAGCCTCACTTAGAAGCCCCCTCATGGGCATTGCTTGAGGGAGGAATGACTCACTTCCCCTCTATTTTTTTTTTTAATTCATCCTTAGCAGTGGTGAAATTCATTTTTTTAACTACTGGTTCTGTGGACGTGGCTTGGTAGGCATGGCAGGGGAAGGATACTGCAAACCCTCCATTCCCACCAGTTCTCCAGAACCTGTTGGATTTCAGCCCTGATCCTTAGTAAGTTGAACTGAGATCCAGCAGCTGAAATGAAAAAAGTGATCTTTTAAGGTGTATTTTTATACTTGAAGACCTCCAATCCCCAAATTTTGACTTTCCAATGTAAGATTCTAAAATTGTATTATTTCATATTCTTCTTAGTGAGTTGAGCTGAGAACTTGTTTAGCAGCTGCATTAGAAAACAGTTTTTTTTAAAAAGTTCATTTGTATATTGAAAGGCTTGCAATCCCCAATATTTGCCTTTCTCAAGGTATATGCCACAATTATATAATTTTATCTTTAATTAAAACTAAACAAAATAGGAAGTAAAGTTTCATATTTAGCAATAGTAATAGCATTTAGACTTCTATACCGCTTTATAGTGCTTGACAGCCCTCTCTAAGCAGTTTACAGAGTCAGCCTATGGACTCCAACAATCTGAGTCCTCATTTTACCCACCTTGGAAGGATGGAAGACTGAGTCAACCTTGAGCCTGATGAGATTAGAACTGCTGAATTGCAGGCAGGCAGCAGGCAGCAAAATACCCTGCAGTACTGCGCTCTATCCACTGCGCCATCGCAGCTCATTTACATTTATGATAATCATATTCTTATGACTGCTTCCATTTTACTTTCATTCATTTTTTTTATTTCTTCCAGACAGCAGGGATTTTGTAACTGAGTGAGCTCCAGTTACCTGTCCCAGCTTCTGCCAACCTAGCCGTTTGAAAGCACATAAAAAATGCAAATAGAAAAATAGGGACCACCTTTGGTGGGATGGTAACAGCGTTCCGTGCGCCTTTGGTGTTTAGTCATGCTCACCACATGACCACGGAGGCGTCTTCAGACAGTGCTGGCTCTTCGGCTTTGAAACGGAGATGAGCACCGGCCCCTAGAGTCAGGAACAACTAGCACANGAAAGCAGGCCACACCTACAGAAGAGGTTCCCAAAATTTTTGAAACTCACCACACACACATGCACGCACGCACACACACATACAGACTCACACAGAGAGAGAAAGAGAAAGAAAGGAAGAAATAAAGAAAAAAAAGAAAGAAAAAGTAAGAGAGAGATGAAATAAAAAAAGGAAAAAGGGACAGAGAGTCAAAAGGAAGGAAAGAGAGAGAGAGAACACATGGCTGGCAAGCCACTGCCACCAGGTCACATGGCCGGCAAGCCACTGCCACCAGGTCACATGGCTGGCAAGCCACTCCCACAAAGGAGGCCACACCCACAGAGTAGGTTTGAAATTTTTTTGAAACCCACCACTGCTCGCGTGCCATAAGTGGGGGGAGCGCAGGGGGGGGGTTGTGTGCGGGCGTGCCGCACCCAATCCAATGCGCACCCCCCCAGTGTGCATGTGTGCGCTACAGGCATTCCCCCAATATTTTGCATGCTTTTTTTGCAATATTATATTCTAAACTATGTCTTTGCTCTGATGGATTTCTATGCAGTCCTGGGGTCTTAATTTTTTTAAATAAGAGTTTGGTTTTACGGGTTGGATATTAGTAGGTGAGGTAGAAATCCATTATCTTCTCTCAACCCCTCTATGAACTGCTAAAGACAATCTAATATGTAAACTGTTCACACATGCATGTTGTCTACATACATACTTAACACGTTCTAAGATGACTGAAAAGAACAAATAATGAACCCAGATCTCTTTTTCTGTTTCTCTTTCTTTATCAGTATACAAGTGAGATTCAATGATTTATGAAGAAATCTTGGTCCTGTTAAATGGAATTTTCCCAAAATAAATTCATGTAAACAACTTGCTACAAAGAGGCAGTCAGAGCAGTTTGGAATGTGTAAACAGCTTGAACAGTTGAGAATATAATCTCCTTGAAGGCTGGACTGGTTGCAGCATCGTCTCAGAGCAAACTACCTTTGGCTCCAGCCAATCTGACATCATGACATTTCATGACTCCTCCCTCTCTCTGTCTCTGTCTCTCTCCCTGTCTCTCTCCCCCCACCCCCAGCTTCTACTTGAACATTACAAGCACAGAGGACAGGCTGCTGTTGCTACAGCTTACATAGCTGAATACCTTCATGGGCAGCATTCTTTAATAATCAGTCAAAGAGGCATTTTAGTCAGCAGAATGGTGGCTGTGGTCAGGGACGGCAAATAAATAACAGAATAACAGAGTTAGAAGGGACATTGGAGGTCGTGTAGTCCAAGTCCCTGCTCAAGCAAGAAACCCTATACCCATTTCAGACAAATGGTTTCTTGCTTGAGCAGGGAGTTGGACTACACGACCTCCAATGTCCCTTCCAGCTCTGTTATTCTGTTATTTATTTGCCGTNTCTATTTAATTCTATTCTATTCTATTCTACTCTACTCTACTTTACTCTATTCTATCCTATTCTATTCTGTCCCAAATTCTGTTCTGTTCAGTTCTGTTCCATTCCATTCCATCCCATTAGTCTATTATTCTATTCTATTCTATTCTATTCCTACTCTATTCTATTCTTAACATTTATATATCCAGGGTCATCACATTTATAACATTTCTTTATCCCATTTCTTCCTTGTTTACTTTAAGCAATTTTTCTTCGCAGACATACATTCTGTATTCCTCGACTTATGACTACAATTGAGCCCCAGATTTCGAGACAGTTG